AAGGGGCAGTGTAGACGCTCCTTCTTGTGCAAGAGCCTCTTCTGAAAATAATGGTGGCTCATTAGACATGCAAATGAGGCTCAGCGATATTCCACACAGCCTCATTTGCATATTACTTGCGCAAGAAGCCGCGAGTGTAGACATAGCCCAGCAGTCCCGCACCTGCCTCCATCTAATTGGTTAACCGGTTAAACATAATGTTTGACAGGTTACCTTACTTAAATGTGATTTTATATCCCTAGCACTTATCACTCTATCAACCCAGATTCCAACCCAATCCTGCTTAGCCCCACTGTCACCCCAAAGTTATACTGATGCCCCTGCAAATACCCCGTGGCCCTACATACCCTACCTCACTCTCCATGCCTCTCTCAGCCACCAAGCCTCCCACCCCACCATGATATTGCCTGGTGCACCAAGGAGCCAAGACAGCCCGGCCAAGTCCTTTTTGTCCCCCTGTCTGCTCCTAGCTCCCCCCTATGTCATGTTCAAGTCTCCCTTTGTACGCCCCCAGTTTTCCATCTCTTCCACATCAGTCCGGCTGCCCAGCCTGTCTCAGGGGCTCTGTGCTGAGCAAAGGCAGTGAAAGAGGAGAGAGGTTAGAAACTAGTCAGAACAGAACTAGCCTGCAGAAGCCCCAGGGCTTTTCCTAGCAGAGAACAAGTATTGAATGAAAAGAATGTGTCTCTTACTGCTAAACTGGGGGTTTGGAATCTCTACTCTCCCTGCGCCAGGATGCAAATGTCTTTGCGTTTGGAGCTGGTCAGGACTCTTGTTTTTTAGCCAGGGGGTCCCAACAGAACATGAGGCTGCCAGGGGGAATCTCAACAAGGTCTTATCTTCAAATGTTTCCTCTGCACAGTTATTAAATATTGGAGGCAACTCTACTCTCTCAGGTACTTAGCATTAGAAAAGGTACAGCGAAGTGCAGCAGGAGCATGGAACAGCTTCTGGATGAGGAGAGATCAAACACAAGTATTTTTTCATACTATGCACAGTCGACCCATGGAGATCATTGCCAGGGGGCGTTGTGAGGCCCAAAACTATAATGGGGTTAAGAAAAGAATTACTTAAATTCCTGGTGGATCAGTGGCTGTTAGCCAAGACGGGCAGGGATACGATGCCATGGGCAGCGGGTCCCTAAATCTCTGTCTGGTGGAAGCTGGAACTGGATGACTGGGAATGGATCACTCAGCAAACTGCTCTCTTCTGTTAATTCCCTCTGAAGCAGCTGGCATGGTCCCTGACCTAGATGCTGGACCTTTTGTCTGACCCAGTATGGCTGTTCTGATGCACTCATACAGCCCCCATTACCTCAGCCTCACAATCTTTAATGTATTTATTCTTGCAGCCTGCCAGTGAGGTAGGGAAATGCTATTATCCCCTTTAGAGAGTGCTAGCATACAAAAAACCAGAGATGAGTGTCTCTTCTTCTCTCATCCCCATCTCTTAACGTTCTTCGCTGTAACTGTGACTTAAAATGACTGACCAGCCTGGTCTGAAAGTTTCGCTCTCCTTTCTCTTCTTCTCTCATCCCCATCTCTTACAGTTCTTCACTGTAACTGCGACTTAAAATGACTGACCAGCCTGTTCTGAAAGTTTCGCTCTCCTCGCCCTTTTGATCCTAATCCACCTTGTTCAGATGCTGCTTTGCACGGATGCCAACCCAGTACCCCTGCACAGCGCATCCCAGTCATGCTAAGAAGGCCCCACGTGGAGACTGGACAAGGCAGAGGAACAAGATCTAGACTAACATGGATACAAAGAGCTCTTTCTATTCGTACCTCAAATGCTGATGAGTTTGTTTCTGATCTGTAGAGGAGAGGGTGGATAAATCTCCTAGGTTATTCAGATTTGTGCATGATTTTCATCAGATGTGACATCCATGAGCTATCTAGGGTGGAAATGGCCACTACTAGAGAGGGAAGAGTGCCTCTTTGGTGGTGAAAGGACAGGACTCCACACCCATTTCCTACTGAATATGCCAGCGATGGAGACAGGTGGGTGTGACATGTTCTTTTGTTTATACAAGCAGAAGACACACGCTAATACTGTGACATATTCTGCATAAGGAAGGGATGGCCACGGTTCCATCTTAACATCCTCCAACTATCTCACTCGAGAAGGTTGGACACACATGTCCATGGACTGCAATTACAGAAAATGGAACTACAGCTTGAACCTCTCTAGTCCGGCACCCTGGGGACCTGACCGGTTCCGAACGAGAGAATTTTCCGGACCACAGGAGGTCAATATTGTCTAGTAGCATTACCAACACTTCCACTGCTTGCTAGGGTAAATTAGAACTAAATAATAGAACAGAACACTGAGTGCACGTCTAGACTGCCTGCGGCTTTCGAAAGAAGATATGCAAATTGGGTGGGAATTTGCATATCTTCTTCCAATTCTGTTTTCAGAAGAGTTTTTTTTATTTAACAAAGCAGTCTAGATGCTTTTCTCCCCAAAAGAACTGTGTCTAGGCTGCTTTTGTTTTTTTGAAAAAACTCTTCCGAAAACGGGATTGGCAGAAGATATGAAGCCGTGGGCAGTCTAGATGTGCCCTGAGGGGAAGACCTGGAGCCAATTTCGGCGCTCAGATTCACGTCAATGCGACTGGGAGAAAAAACTGGCCTTCTGGATGCTCTGCATTTCTCTTAACAGATAACATTTTTGGTTTTGACATTAAAAAAGTTGTTCGGGGACCAACAGATTTATCCTGGGCAAGGTGTGAGTGTGTGTGTGTGTTGGGGAGGCGGGGTCCACGCTCCTGAAGGGGGCAGAGCTTTGGGCAGAAGGGACAGGTGGCTCTGCCCGGAACATGCCAAGCCCCCCCCCTCCAAGCAGACATCAGAGCTGCCCGGAACTCACTGTGTGGCACACCAATTGCAATTTAAAGGGCCCAGGGCTGCACAGTGGCAGCTGATGGCTCCAGACCCGCCCCCCCACTTCCCATTGGCGGGCCCGGTTGAAACCAATGGGGTGAATTGTCTAATGAAGGCACGATATTTCACGGCGAGAGTCAAACTGCAGCATGATAATTGTCCCGAAGCAGCATGGACATTGCAAACCTCTCTGAAGACAAATCAGAATCTTGTGGCAAACACCCCTCGACAGCATCCCCCTCATTCAACCAGAGCCTGTCCACAAAACGCGTGACTTCATTCAATACTGAACAGGAGGCTGGGCCTGCCTTACCTGGGATAGGTATAATGGGAATACTCTCATTAGGGACCACTCGAGGCGAGCTGCTGTCCTCCACATAGAAATGAGCCGTCTGAAAACACTTTCTGTTAAAGGAACAGAAAAAAGTTAAGTGCTGTGAAAAATAGCATATAAAAATCCAGTCCACTGTTGCACATGTTCTACCTTGCCATTTCTAGTTACATACTGTCAGATGTTATAGCTCGTTAGTGAAAACATATGTAATCTGAATGTAATTATATTTGTGCTTTCCGTCTGAATTTAATTCACTGCTATCCGGCATATACCACCCTGTTTAGGAGCATACCATTGCTAAGTATTAGTCCACATTAAATTAAGCACTGAAAGTTTAGTGTTGGAGATATACTACATTTCAAACACCCAATTCAGAAAGAAACACACACAATGCTATGGATCAATTCTCCAATCAAAACTAAACCAAACCGTTCCAAGGGAATATGCACCTACTGTAAAACTTGACGCTGTGTAACAGTGGGCAGCATCTTTCACAGAATATGTAAGGCTGCGTGTTACCCCACTTCCGTTGCCGGCTCAACACAAACAAACTTTAGCTCTCTAAACCCCAATCCTCTTCACAACCTCCGGCTCACACTGAGTCCCAGATGCCGCTGTAGAAAAGCCAAGGGATGCTTAAGCGTGGGCCCCAGAAGCTGGCTCTTAAAAGGCCCAACAAGAAGTCAAATGCTAGAAATCCTGCAAGCAGAACTTGCATCGACTGTGCTGGTTTTACCTGTATTTAATGCAAAGCAGAGAGCACAGGCTGGTCATCCTAGAGAAGGCACTGAGCAGACGAGAAGCAAGAGATGCAAGGCGCTTCTGCATGGTGATGTTAACTGAGGCAGAGTTTTCCAACACCAGCGTCACTGCTCATTGCCGACTTAATGAGCTGCTTGAGGCTGGAACTGAATATTTAATGAGCCTTGCACCGTGTGAGCAGCTATTGTGACAAGAGAGGGGTCTGCTCTCTTCTGTCCGGGGCTCGTAACAATAGCCTCGCCCTACCCTACAGATCCCTCTCGCTGCAGCTTGGAACACACGACCAACTGGCTCCTCAGCACCTGTATAGCGTTAAAACACAGCCCTGATTAAACTTCCCCTTTCTGGGAAATGTTCCTC